TTCACTGTACCAACAATGCTGAACAAGAGAAACCACATTTTCAGGGCAACCCTTAAGGCCGCACAAGCCAGCAGCTGCGGCAGAAGCGTGCAGCTCTACCTGCAGGTGCCCAGCCACTGCCTGCCGGCCCTGCACAGCTTGCAGGAGGGTGGCAGGGCTCCAGCTGGCTGTGGGCTCCAGCTGGCTCAGCCCATGGCACGAGGTGCTGTGCAGGTCATGGGTGGTGCAAAGGGAGGGCAGTGTTACTGCACAGCATGCAGTGACCGGGGCACAAAGGGCTGGCATAAAGCTGTGACAGCAACGCATAGAGCAGCAGCTATCTGTTGCTGTAGGCTTAGATACATGCACAGAGGGAGGGAAATGGACTGCACTCTTCATTTGGGTAAAACCTTTCAGCCAAATAACAAATTAACAAATACGTTATCCATTAGCCTTTGTTGCTGTTACTGTGGAAAATGAAGCAGGGCGGCAGTAAGGCACGTATTTTCAGAGGTGGCTGCATATTACTGGTACTTCTGCTGTTCCCTGCCCATCTGGACTGCTGCTCAGAGGCAGTGCAGGACCTCACGCTCGTGCTCACTTGTGGGGAGATGCCTCCAGGAAGAACACTGTTGCAGAGCCTCCCCTCCAGCTCTGAGCTGGAAGGCTTCCCCAGGAGCACTGACACAGACCTAGCGAGTGGTTGAGCAAATTGCTGGCTCCCCATTTCCATGGGAGCAGACATAGCTGGATCTGTTGCACAGTCTTTCCCACCCTGCCCAGCACAGAGGACAAGTAGCTCCATGCCACAAGGGCCTTCACATCAAAAGTGCTCAGGGCAAGATGCTTAATCACCATGGGCAGTAAAGAAAGGTGTGTACTGCAGGCAGATGCCAGGCTCTGCTGGCCAGGCCATGAGGAGAAGGCAGGTGAGCAATCTCAGCACTGAGCAGCCAGCAGGCATTGCCTGACACAGAGCTCATCGGAAAGGGAGGACAGCAGGAGCAGGCAAAGGATCATAGATTGCAGTGCAGCAACTGCCAGGGTGCAAGGGCTTAAATGGCAAAATCCATGTGAGCTCAAAATCACCGATATTAAAAGTTCAGCACACAAGAGGACATTGGATTTGCTTCCAACTGTGTAACGGTGAATTTCCAAGCTTATAACAGGATGCTTTCTGTCTGACATGGGGGGGCAACAACAAGTTTTTGATTTATCTTTAAAGATCAGGATCATAACAATCTGATACACTGACTTAAATCTGATGCCTCCACAACAGATCACAAGGTGGTACAGAAGAAGGAATTGATAAGGCATTAACAGATGCTAGAGTTGCCACCTGTAAATCTGTTCAGAAGTGTTCAGTGTAGTGCAGTTTATAAAATATACCTTAGGCTTTAATTTTCAACCAGACTAAGCTAGAAAAATGGTAAGTCAAGGAGCTGTAGCAGGCTCTGACCAATACACAGCTGAATGAATAAGCCATCGGCATTTCCTTGGCAGAGGAACTAATGAGGCCTGAGAGCAATCTCTGACTAATTTGGCTCCCGTTAGCACCTATACTGCCCCACACCAGGGATTGGGATGACCTGGAACTCACACAGCAAATGACAGAAGTTAAATTCTGGTAAAGGTCCTGACCAGGGGAATTTGGAAATGTCTGCTTATGCCATGAAGAATATTTCTATTATTTGATTCACATGCCCTGGAGAAATTCACCTCGTGTCCCTGTAGATAACAAGGCTGATTCAACTGAGCCTGTCCTACAGATCTCGAGTGTGGCATCTTAGCTGAAGTTTAGGATAGCAGGGAGTAATAGAAACAGTAACAAAAAATGGAATTTCAAGTCCCTGTGTGCTTTATCTTTACAAAATCTGTTTGGTTCAGTAGCTTTTGCTGGATGAAGCCCGTGCTATCAACCTGAGTACATCTTCTTCTCTGGAGAAGATGAGTTTGACACATGGGCTCTAGGGGCAAGGCAGAAGAGAAAGTGTCACTGTGTAGGCAAGCTAGCAGAGCTGCCCTGAGGTGGATACAGTCAATTGTACCAGTGAGGTGCTGGGTGCTTCTGCTGCTCAACCCAGCCTCCCATTTCCATAGCGCAGTAGGTGAGTGCATTGGATGCTAAAAAGAAGGGAATCTTGGGATGAGGTGGGCTTTGTACTGCTTATGCCCCACTGGAGCCATCCTTGGCTTCAGGACAGGTTGGTGCCTGCCAGGCAGAGGCTGCTCGCTCCTCAACCTGTGCTAGCTCCCAGCTTGCCAGGTATCTTGGGGTGAGGGCCAGCAGAAATTCCTGCCATTGGGTAGCCCCAAAAAGTTTCTTTTCATCTTTTAACTTGCTTTTCCCTTCTCTCTAACCCTTTTTTTGGTCCAGAAATGTGCATGTCCACTACAGGAAAGCCCAAGAAAGCTGTTAAAATGATTATTTAATTTCTCTTTATCTGAAGCATGTTAAAGCAAAGGAACAATATGAAGTTTCATAGTAAGTCCCCCCCTCCCCCCTTATTTCCAGGAGGAATTACTGATACCGTGCATCTCCAGGTAATGCTTTGTATCTGGGGAAAAGAAGAAATACATATTTAGTATTAGAAAACTGTCTTCTCTGCCATGTTAGAAAAAAAAGATTTTCTTCAAGCAGTCATTATGCTTCTAAATACAGAAAGCCTGCAAGGTTTTGTTATCAGTGAAGAAACAGAAGTGCAAGCCATGGGTGAAGAATGCTCCTTCCTGTGTGATCTGTTATAGGAAGACTTTTATCTCAGAATGAGCGTACCCACCAGAAAGTTTTGGCCTGTTAGAACAGTGAGATTTCACCATGATTTTAGCCTGTTGCTTTAGGGGAGGTAGAGTGGTTCTGTTACATCAACACTTCTGACCCTGCACTGAGGTTCCTACCTCCAGGTATGGAGGTTAGAGGGCATACAACATGCGATCAGCTGGGTTTTCTGCAGTACAGATTCATTCTGGAGGACACACGATGGAGTTCCCCAGGAGTGCTGTATGGTCTTTATGTTGACATAATGTACGCACTATTTCACTCTTGTGCTTTCTGCTTATCCCCCAGTTTCAGATTGTTCTGCTGTGCTGTGAGGATTTTTGGGGCTGGTTACCACAGAGACTTCCTCAGGAGTTCCGTTATTGCCCAGAAAAAGCTCCTGGAGAAGCACCAGATTACTAGCACACTCAGCACTTTGCACTGCAAGGGGGGCAGACTGAAATTCATGCTCCCCCCTTCTGGGAGGCTGTTTCACACTGGGAAATGCAGCTGTGTTATTTCCCCTCTCCTCCTCAGAAAGGACCATAAGGGTTGAAATGTGTTAAGCTTGATGGTGCTTTATGAACCATGCTGTTCAGTGTTAGAGCCACAAAGCCATTGGCCTGCAGCCTGCACTGTGTGAGAATAGAGATGCCACTGCCTGGAATCAGCCAGGAGAGACAACACAACCAGATAGGTGATCTCACCTATCTTATTTGATAGGAAACTCATATAAATGTGGGAAAAAGATACTGTGATTTTTTGTGAGATGATAGTCTCTGCTTTGGCCAGTCAGTTTGCTCCTGGAAAGTCTGTAGCCACAACACATGGCAGGAATGTGGCTCACCTTTCCTCGACAAGGACCTTACCTCCCAACCATAACAAAAAGCAACAGCCTCAGAAGCTTTCACAGCTGCCCTGAGGGCATTCCTGAAAGGCACTACAATTGTGGCTGTTTCCCAAGGCATCACTGAGCCTAAAATGATCCCTCCTGGTTCCCTCCTCTCACAGAGCATTGCTGTCACTTCAGCTGGCAGAGGGGTGGGCAGCACAAGGATCCCTGTTGAGCTGCATACTTGACTCCCTAGATAATGGAGCTGCTTCAGAAGACCCTGCTGCACTGTTACAAAGACCTTGGTTCACCTGTTGTCCTTGATTGTCTTGTAAACCTATTTCAGGGGTTTCACCTTAGTCCTGTGTTGTTCCAGGCCCCCACTGTGTTTGTGCACCACATAACTGGATTTACTGTAGCTCAGGAAATGAGGCTTGACTCAATTTTTTCTCCCTGAACTCTGGAAAGAAGAACCACCCCAGCAAGTTTCTATCTCAGGGATTTCCCTAAATCCATAAAGACCGGAAACTGAACAAATAAATACACAAGGGAACACCACAGAGATGATCTCAGGAACTGATACTTTTAGGAAAACAAAGAAATATTTTGAATCATTCAAAATGTCCTAATTTAGTAGAGCAAAAGAAGTATTTTGATTTTTCAATATCAACTTGATAGGTTAAAATAATAATAATAGAAAGAGTCACTTGATTCTATCAAGCTACCATAAAAAATACTTTGATATTCTGTTGAACTTTTGTAGAAACGGTGTTTTCCAGTGGAGATGGCCAGAGCAGCTCTGCCCAGCTGTTCTCATCACTCCTCCGATAAAACGCGCTAATGGGAGCCAGCACACTCCACTACAGCACAAATGAAATTGCAAGGGCAGATGGGGAGCCTTCAGCTCTCAGTATTCTTTATCGTGTGAAGTCTGAGATCTCAGGCAAACACGGCGAGAACCAGCAAATCTCTCAGCGGACTAAAATCCCAGCTGAGTCTCAAATTCTCTGTGCAGGAGAGAAATGGCTGTAATCTGCTAATAAAAACAGATGTACGGGGGCCATTCTGACAGCTACATCTGCCGTGCTTCCTCCAGCCCGCCCCGCCTTGTTAGACAGCCTCGTTCCACTCCTCACGAGTGGTGCCAACAATAGGCACGCATGAACACCAGTCACATTATATTTTCTTTAGGATGGTTGCTTTCTCCTCGACCCGCGCTGAGCCCTGCTGCAACCTCGCTGTCTGAGGGAAGGCGTCTGTCCTCGTGGCTGTGCTTGCGCGGGAACGGCGCTGGGAACAAAGGCAACCCTGGCTCTACACCACCTCAGCCCACTGCCGACGTCGGGGAAAGGATCAGACCTGCGGGGCAGATTTACACCCGCGGATGCTCTTATTACGCTCCTAAGCCAGGGAAGGGCATCGAAGCGCAGCAGCTCTTCCCACAAGCGTCCTTTCCAGAGCTGTCTGATGCCTTTCAGAAGCAGCCACATTCCGTCAGAGCATCTTGAGGACAGCCAGCTGCTGTAGTTCCCACCCCTCCTCCTTCCCTACCGCCCCTCAGAGCCGGCCTGAAGGCGCCCCACAAGATGGCGCCTCACCGCTTTATGGCGCGCCCGGAGTAAAGATGGCGGCGGCACCTTCTCCTGCTTCCGTGGTGCCGGCGGCTGTCCCGCCATCAGTAACGATGGCGACTTCCTGCGCGGTGTGGCTGGAGGATCAGGTAATGGCGCCACCCGCCGATCCCCAGCCCCTGTGCTGCCCGGCAAGGGTCGGCGGGCAGCCCGGGGGTCGCGGTGCGCTCTGATGCGTGTCCCGCTGCAGGTGGACCGGGTGCCCTGTCCCTACGACGCCCATCACCGTGTGCCTCGGGCGTCGTTGGAGAGGCATGCGGCGTCCTGCCGCCTCCGCAAGATGGGCTATTCCGCCGAGGAGCAGGTGGGCTGGGAGGGACACCGGGCTGGGGCGTTGGGGCGGGGGGCTGCAACTCAGAAGGTCTTACGACTGGGCTGCCGTGTCCCACAGGCCGAGATGTATGACTCCCGCTTCTTCTATGAGAACCTGAAGGTGCCCACCGTTGCAATGGGTAAGTACACAGTGGGCGGCAGAGCGCTGGGGGGCTGCATGGAGGTGGAATCACAGCGTGGCTGAGGAAGTTGCGGGTTCACCCAGAGCCCGTGCCCAGCTCCAGACACCTCCAAGCCTCTGGGCAGCCTGTTAACACCACCCTTGCCCCTGCAAAGTGCAATCGTGGGCCTGTTTGGAGCACCCTTCGCGTGGCAGAACCTGAGTCCTCGCCACAGCATGCCATGCTGCCCTGCAGTCAGTAATCATCGTCATTAAAAACCCTCCCTTGAGTTTGGAGGTACACTAACAACACTGTTAATGGCACTGGTGAGGATTTCAGTATACATATGTATCTTTCCTTATCTCTGTAACCCAAAAATCCTTCCTTTTTTTTTTTTTTTTTTTTTTCCCTTCCCTCCCCTCAATTCAAATATGGAATAGATAAGAATATTTTTCAACTGTCTCTTGTGCACAAATAAAACTACAATGTTCTATGAAATATCTTAAGTCTCGTAATAGAGGTTGGGAAATAAAGACTAAGCCTACTAAGTACTTGATTTTAAAAGTTCTGTGTGATACTTTCTCTTCTCTGTCTGCAGATAAAGATCTACAGTTTCACATAGTTCAGCAAGCTAGAGCTCAGAGTGCCAAAGAAGGCATAGGCTACACTGAAGGTAAGTGGCATCCAGATGGGGAAACAGCTTTTCAGCTGTCCTGTGGAGAGCTGCTCGATTTCCCCTTTTGAACTGCTGTGAGAAATTTTCATTTATCTATTTGTTTTTTAAAATTCCTTCTATATTTGGGAGTAAAACTGCTTTCTTTATGAAGGGCAGCCAGGTAAAGAACTTGAGATAGTATCGGTAGTGCAGAACTTGGGAGTTCCCTGAAGTACCAGTCTGTCACTTCCCGTCCCACTCCATACAGCTTACTGTCCGCCTGCATTTTCTGATACTCTCTTCTGCCTGTTATGGCCCAAATTCTTCACAAGCTGCCTCCCACCTTGTTCTTCATGGCATGAGTGAGGAAGAAGGGGAAAAAAGAGAACTGTGCTTTGAATTCAGTTTAAGGATTGTCAGTTATAAGCTGTGCACGCTCATTTATTGCTTCTTAGATCAAAAGCTGAACAGTGCATGCATTGGTGTTATGTTGAATTGTTTCTAGACTCTTTTAAGTAGTTACATAATAAATATGTTCAAGTTCTTTACCGCTGGTCTCACCACATTTCTTTGTCACATTTTATAGCAGGTCTAGTGACAGAGTAGTTAAGACCAATTTGCACTTCTTGTAGAGAGTTGAGATAGAGTAGAAAAGTAGGGCCACCTACAGGAACTTTGTTGTACTTTCCTGACCTGATGTTCAGATACAGCAGCACTTGCTCAGGCAAGTATTTCATGTCCAAGAATTTTCATGTTCTTGCTTCTTTCACAGACCAAAGCCTTTGTGTGATTGGCACTGGGCTTTTATAGCATGTCAGGTGCATTTTGCTCTGGAAACAAGCAATAATTCACGAATTTGATACAATTATAGCCGAGTAGAGAAAAAACAGTTAAGCCTATAAAGAGGTGTATCGCATAGATATGTCAGTGAGCCACCAGATGCCAGTGTTTGCCATCCAGTTTTCACTGTGATTTTGCATTTCTACGAAGATAACATTAAAACTGTATGGAGTAGTTTTTATTATGGTGCCTTGGCCTCTTCTAAGATGTGCTGACTTGAAATTACTTGTTTAACTTGAAGTCTTTGGCAGTAGAGATGGGGGGGGGGGGGCGGGGAAATGTAGCTGTTGCTCGTGTAATAGGGCTGGAAGGCTGGTCTTGATCATAAGCTGTGAGACCATTGTAAAATCACAAGCACGTAACTGTTAGGGCATGTTTCTGGGTTTCTGTGACCTTGTAGGAATAGTATATTCTAAAAATAAAATTCTTGTATTATCCTTTCAATTTAAGGACTTCTTACAGATGTGTAAGAGAAGGGTGAACGCAGCACAGGTGTTTACTGCATTGCTGAGCTCTTCAGTGTTTCCCTGTGTAATTATGCCATTTTACTAATAACACTGCTGTTCAAATTCCAGGATCTTATTCATCACTGCCTGTAGAAGTTCCTCAAAATCACAAACGTTTCACCTGTGACCTGACTCAAGCTGACCGACTTGCTCTTTATGACTATGTTGTTGAGGAAACAAAGAAACAGAGGTCTAGGTCACAAATCACAGAAAATGACAGTGACCTCTTTGTGGATTTAGCAGCCAAGATTACTCAAGGTTTGAAAAATAATTTACTGTTGATTTTATTGCTCAGAGCTTTAACTTTGCATCAATAGATGAGTTTTTGGTGAAAGCCAGCCTGAACTGTTGTTTGTTGTTGGTTTTTGTTGTGGGAACACTGCAGTTTTTTTTTAAATTGTATGACAAGTCTGGCACCAGGAAACAGCAGACTGGCATTCTTTGTGCTGACAGTTCTGAGAAAGCCTTGGTGCTCTTTTGTTGGCATAGGTATTGCATTTATCTTAATGGATGGATCTGCTGTCATTTGCAACTGACTTCAGGTTACTTAATGCTGACAAGTTACTGCAAAGCCTGCAACAGCATTTACTACAAGAAATGATGAGATTAAAGATCATTTAAAATTAAAAGCCTGGGGAGTGGTTGGTGGTCGCTGGGTTGAAATCTTGATCTATATAGGAATGGATACAACAGACAAAGCCTCCTATTGCTATTGAGACATGCCGGTGTCTCCAAGCAAAACTTCCCTTTGTTATTCTGTGGACCCTGTGTGTAGGAGAGATGGTGTTTGTCATCTACATGGATACACATTCCTCAGAACTTGGCTGTCTCAACTGCTGTGTCTTACACTTATAGTGGCTTTGAAGATGCAGCCTGTGTTTTGAAGAGGTCTCACCAACCTGCAAGCCTGTACATTGATTTGGATTACTGTTGGGACATTAGGATCACATAATAATGTTTGAATGTTGTCTTTTCAGTCTTGTATTGATAACAAGGCTGAAGAGGAAGCTTGTGTTAATTCATAATAGCTATTCAACACTGGAGAACTTGAGGAACAACACAATGTATATATATATATTTTTTTTCAGACACTTCAGTAATAAAGCAGCAGATTTATATACCTGCAGGTGCTAATGCTGTGCTAATACCCATTTGTTTTACTTCAAATTCTTTGTTAGATGACAGTCAGAAAGGTCCAAAGTCCCATCTTGAGATTCTGGCTGAAATGCGAGACTACAAAAGGCGCCGGCAGTCATACAGGGCTAAGAACGTTCATATAACGAAGAAGTCTTACACTGAGGTAAGCAGCTCAAGGGAAAGCTGTGACTTTATTGTATGCTTAGTTCATATCAGCATAAACAATGGCATGCCTGTTCAGACGAGGAAAAATGTCTTCTGCTTATTGTGCCCTTCCTGGTTAGAGTTGCAGACTTGCTAATAAGAGAATTTCTTTAGTTTAGTTTGCTGCAGGAAATTACAAGTAACAGAAGTATTTCTGGCAGCAGTGAATTTTTCATGTGAAAATGGCAGCAAGATACACTTTGTTGTAAAATGGTACTATTACATTTATGCTGAAATGCTCTTCTTTAAGAAGTATATCGTGATGCACTGCTTTGTTGTTTTTTGTTTTTTAATATCTTTCTTTACTCTTGAGGTGATTCGGGATGTGATTGGTGTACATATGGAGGAACTCAGCAACCACTGGCAGGAAGAGAATAGGTTGGATAATGCAGAGATGTGTGAAGGGGGAAAGTCAAAATCTTCAGGAAGGTACATCACAGTTGACATTCAAACATTCATGAAGGATTTGCTATTTCTGTGTGGACAGCAGCAGCCTGGGGGCCTGTAATGGTTTTTTTTGTTGTTGTCGTTTGGTCCTCTTTTTTTTTTTTTAAGAGGAAGTGGCTTAATAGGATGTTGTCTTTCTTACACTGTTAGTAGGTCATTTTGTTACAGAACTGATACTGAAAAACTAGTGACTGTGAAACTGTGCTTACTGAACAAAATCAGTAATGTTTTTGGTTTTTGTTCTCTCAGAAAGGAAGACAGGCGGTCAGCTTCGGTGGACTCGAGGCAGTCTGGAGGAAGCTCAAAGGACACTGAACGCACCAGACATAGGAGAGAGAGCAGCAGGAGTCCAAGTAAAAGAAAAAGGAGTCGTGACAGAGGGAAAGACAGAGATTCTCGGAGGAAAAGAGAAAGGTGAGATGAAATAGCATCAGCTACATTCTTGCCTCTGAATCAGGCCACCGTGCAGAAGAACTTATTACAGGGAATAGAATGTCTCATTTAATGAAAAATCTAGTATAATCTCACATGCAGTACAACAAGCCAGTGCCTAAACAAAAGTTGCTGTGATCTAGAGTTCAGAACTTTCCACAGCTGAAAGGTCGATGCTTCCAACAGTGTTACAGATCTGAGGCTGCTTATCTTGACATATCCCATGGGGATAGTTGGCACTGGGCAGCAATTGCATTGTTAATTTCACCAATATAAGGCCTACTTTCTTTCCTTAGAAAAGGATATGATTACATTTAATGAGAGCTTTCTCTTTTCAGGTACTTTTATTCCTTCAGATTACATTAACAACATACACGGTGTTTGCTTTCTTGTTTCAGGGACGAAGACAAGTATCACAGCCATAAAAGAAGAAAGTAGAAACAAGAACATAATGAGTTTTTGTTCAAAGAATTACTTGCACAGGATGTACTGTTGTTACTGCTGTTATAACAGAGACTGTAATGCTGTGAACATAATGCTGGTGTTGCCTTACAGCTGTGTTCAGAGAGAAAATCAGATAATGTTCAGGGGTTGGCAGGATGGAAGCAGTGTATGTCCTAAAATGTACAAATGTATAAGACTTATGTATCTATTAATAAATTATAGTAATTTCTTAGCCCTTTCAGTTTAATTTAACAAAGGCTAATGGAATCTGAGAGAGGCTGCACTAATTTAGTGTCCTGGCCCACTGATAGTATCTAAAGGTGAATGTGGTTAAGCAAGCCCTGGAGCAGCAGAATTAATTACAAATGGAAAGGGATGAAAGTAGCTCCCTTTCTCTCTACCACCTGACATTGTCACCTCTGAGAACAGCATTCCAGAAAGACAGCACTTACTGTCACATTATGGCACGCATGGAAGGTGACAGAGCAGATTTCAGAGTTCTCCAAAAGGCTGTTACCTTCATCTGCAGCTTTCAGTAATGAAAAAGTGGTGAAAGTATGGTAACAGGCATGCTGCTGTTCCCAAGCTTGTGCTTAAAGAAATTTAGGATCAATGTCAAGCTGGTGATGGTGGTGACAAGCATCTCTATGACCTCTACTAAGGTAGAGATGTCCCTTTCTATAATTTTATCGACTGTAATTTCCAAACGTGAGATTGATAGATCGTGGTATTTATGCAAAGAACCCAGTAAGTTTTCATCCTGTATACTAACATGAAAGTATTAATGACAGAAATTATAAAAACACTAAGACGTCAACCATCCAAATACAGCTTATGGGTGTAAAGGAGAATTCCACTTAACTGCCGTGGGAATATACCAATTTCTAGTTTTGTTAATTTCTTACACAATCTACTACAGTCAGCTTGTTCCTTCTATGAAGAAAGCCAACAGCACCATCTTACAGATCAGTCTTTTCTACACTTCCTTATTTTCAATCAAGCTGCCAGCAGAGGACACCCCTTAGCACTGTCATTTTGGCCTCCTCCATGGCTGTGTTAGGCGATATGCTCTGCACAGTGCCTGTGGGCTGCAGGCAGGCAGGAGACTGATCTTTATTAATTAAAAGTCCATCTGGCAATGAGAAAAATATTTAAATTCTGAAGAGAGTTGGAGAAGAAAAGGCTCCAGGGAGTCTTCATTGTGGCCTTCCAGTACTTGAAGGGAGCGTATAAACAGAAGGAGGAATGGCTGTTTAGAAGGCTGGACAGTGATAGGACAAGGGGGAATTGCTTTAAACTGAGACAGGGGAGGTTTAGGTTAGATATTAGGAGGAAGTTTTTCACATGGAGGGTAGTGACACACTGGAACAGGTTGCCCAAGGAGGCTGTGGACGCCCCATCCCTGGAGGCATTCAAGGCCAGGCTGGATGCGGCTCTGGGCAGCCTGGTCTGGTGGTTGGTGACCCTGCACATAGCAGGGGGTTGAAACTCTATGATCACTGTGGTCCTTTTCAACCCAGGTTGTTCTATGATGATGAGTCCAAATTAGGGATCAAACTAGATGGAACTATTGCCATTAGTCTAGTTGATATTTTTTTCACCATCTTGGCTACGGTGTTCTTCATGGTCTTTGAGCAGCACTTGGTGAAACCATATGTTTGACTACAGTTTGTTCATGCAGACAGGGTAGTCAAAAGACAAGCTATGCTTTTGTAGGAGTTAAAAACAGATAAGAAGAAAATTGTTACTTAAGAAATGAACCAGTCTTATATCTGCCCAGTCTTCTCTAAATTTAATTTTCTATTCAGAAAGTCTAGGTAGAAAGATTAACAAAATCCATTTGATTAAATATAAACAAATTAGTGAAAGTACCACTCCCAAGCTGCGAGCAGCAGTATTTCAGAAGTGAAAAAACAATATGACAATATGTTCAATTCACTCTGATAAAAGGCAATTTCAAGAATGAAATAAAGAAAAAGGAGTGCTGGAGAAGAGGTTCTTTGTGTATTGTATTTACTTCATTTTTTCCAGCCTCATCTGGTGCTGAAGAGTCAACTTGATGAAAGCTGTGTTGAGGGCTGGCTCTGAAAATTTCTGAGCAGTACCATGCCACTTTGTTTGTCACTGGAAAGGAATAGGAACCAAATGTCTTAGAACACTTCAAGGTGATAAACTGTAGTACGTAAGGCAAGATACAGTTGAGGATTACATTAACTGACAGTGCCATTGTTAAAAAATAGTTCTAATTAGGAATCATTCTGGTAATTAACAACAAAGAAAATTAAGTTGATTTCTTAATTTCTTAATTTTAATGCTTGTGCAGTTTTGGATTTCCATATGCATGGAATTGGCTGCAACCTAAAATAAAAGGACCAGCAGATGATGAGAAAAGTCAGTATGTGAATCTAAGCATGCCAAATTTGCAGTGCCCAGAGGACAAGGCTGTTACATATCTTTTAAAACTGGTGAAAAATGGAGTGCATTTCCTGTGACCTGTGTGTGACTATGGGCAAAACAAGTAGGAATTTATTACTGACATGTGAATAGAAGTCTGCCGTTTCCATACATCCCTAATGACAATTCCAGCTAGTTCTAGAAGGGATAAATGTAGTGTATTGATACATCCTTGCCTCCAGTTTTTTCTAAAGTTAGAGGCATCACACTGAGTTTTGTGGCACAGGCTTCATAGAACCAATGTATGTGTATTAGAGATGGTCACCATTAAGGTGATTTATTGTCTGTCCCACTGATCACACCTGTATTCTCTAGCAATGAAACTTTTGATACCATGCTAATAAGGTGCTACAAATAATTACCTTGTCATGATATGAGAGATGAATCATTCAAACAGCTTCATCATTTGTTAACAGATTGCACTTAATTATTAAGTCAAGAGATCTGGTTTGCCCATTTATTACAAAGTAAGCCAAAACTTACTTAACAGCACATAAAAGTTTTTGAGCAAAGCTGCCACTGATGGGATAGTCAAACTGTGAGCTTTTTGCTTAGCTTTCAATCTACACATCTCCTGCTGTGATGAACTGCATCAGTTTGTGGCTTATTGACAAAATTAAAGCTAAGCTCAGAGGAATTAAAAAGAGGAACATAACAGACTAGAAAGATAGCCAGCCTTCCTACTGCGATATGAAAACCAAAACAGGATGAGTTCAGGTGGGATGAGTAGTCTTTTTGTCTTTTATATCCACTGGAGGCTACCAACACCAAGACCATTCCAAGAATGACAGTTTACCGTATCTCATACAACAAAAACTGGAGAGCTGAACTATTTAAGAACAAGCTATATATTCCCCCACATAATTTCCAGGCAGAGGTAATCTGGGGAGAAACACATTAGAAAGTTCACAGACTTCAGGTGGGAACTCCCAGTTTCTCTCTGATTCATGATCCCTGTCACAAGAGCAGCCCATAAGATGCTGATAGTTCCACTACCAGTAGTGCACAGATGATACAAAGCTGTATATAATTGCTTCCTAAGGGGAAAACTACATCACCAGATAGTGACTAAAACATTTCAAAGATGGCTAAATAACAGTTTGTCATTTCACAGTTCAAAGCCCCAAGGTTCACCACTTACAGGAAATAACTATGTACGCTTTTGATATAACCCAAGTCAACCTTTCCTCCTATCATGGATATGCCTCAAGTGAAGACAGACAACTCATCTAAAATTAGAGGTCTGTGGAGAACCCAGAGGTGATGTATAACTTAAAATTGATGCCTGAACTTTTACTTACGCGTCTTCTTTAATCTTTTGGAGGAAAGCTTTGATTTTCTCATCTGGTATGTCTCCATCAATACTTGCCAAATAGCAGTAAAGGAATGAAAATGTTTCATAAGGAATACGAGCTGCTCCACCTTGCGGGTCCTGTGTTAAAATTTCACAGGCGTGTTTCATTGAACTCAGCAAGGACTGGAAGGGGTTCAAGAAAGGAATGAGAACAGTATCAGAGCCATGAACATCTTTTGTATATCATGACAAAATGCAGACTGTAAGCCACAGAAAACGAGTGAAAATGAAATGAAGGCTTTATCATCATTAGCTAGCTCTAAATATCAAATTTCTAACTTTATGAACCAGCTTTATGAGGAGGCTGAGGAAGCTGGAATTGTTAAGTCTGGAGAAGAGGAGGCTCAAGGGGTGACCCTATCACTCTCTACAACTCCCTAAAAAGACGTTGTGGTGAGGTGGGTATCAGCCTCTTCTCCCATATAACCAGTGATGGGACTAGAGGGAATGGCCTCAGGTTGCACTAGGGGAGATTCAGGTTGGACATCAGGAAATAATAATTCTCCAAGAGAGCGGCCAGGCACTGGAACGGGCTGCCCAGGGAAGTGGTGGAGTCACCGTCCCTGGAGGCGTTCAAGAAACATTTAGATGTTGTACTGAGGGACATGTTTTAGTGGGAATATTGGTGGTAGGTGGATGGTTGGACTGGATGATCTTAGAGGTCTTTTCCAATCTTGGTGATTCTATGATCCTGTGACTTACCAAATAGTGCAGGTTGTGAAAGGGAAACAATAATAAAGTTCTAGTAATAAATGGGAATAAAAAATACCAGAACTTTGTAAAGCCAAAAGATTGCACAGGGCCATATCCAATATGGCCAAAATGCTCCATTCTGCTACTGTAACAGTCAAACCTCGCCATATCTGTCTATGTGTATATATGATCTCATGGGTCTACATGAATTCGCAGTGACAGTTAAGATAGACAAATCTATAAAAAACAACAACAACAAAAAACACAACAGTTTAGCATTACTTTTTAGAAATTATATTATTTACTGTTTTCCCTCTTTGTATGCAAGTTCCATTTTAATAGTTAGTGGAAAAAAACCCTACAACAAAAAGAGTCCAAAAAGCATCCAAGTTCTCTGTTTAACAAAAACATGCCTATTAGCTCAAAGCATGCTTTGAAGAAATCCTTCATTCCAAGTAGTGCCTATAATCCAATCCCTATCCATCCCAGGCTATTCAGGGGCATATGTGAAAAAATTGGGCATGGAATTTGATTGAATCAAAGGCTGGTTGGATTCTATTAAAAAAAATACCTCCCCGCCCCTCCAAAAAAGAAAACAAAAAAAGAAAAATAAACACAAAGAAAAAGGTTTTTTCTTAACCCAAGTCATATTTTTGTCAGAATTTCTTCAGAATGTATCTATGGGAGGCCTCTCTGGGAACAGTGGCAGCTGCTCACACAATGAAAATCTC